CCTCCCTCAGAGATAACAGGGTTATCTTCATGCCTGGTCTCAGTCTACTTGATTAGCTGGGCTCCTCGCTGAAGCCAAAAGGGCTGGGAGTAGCTTCCCAGGCAAGGGCATGCTTCAGTCCCAGGACTGCCTCCACTCAGTCATCATCTGGCATCGTAGGACTCCACAGCCAGCCTTTTTTGGCTGAAACACCAGGACTGTGATGGAAATATAAACCAAAACATTTTTTGTTGCTTAATTTAACTAACAATCAAATCTAAATTTCATCCATATTAATTTTATCCTTCCTGTCTCCCCATGCTGCCTCTTTCCAGGCTGCTGTGAGGGGATCCTGTCTCCTGCAGCATCTGGACCGCTCCTGCTGGCACGGATCAGCCCGTGGCCATCCCCTTATTCTCCCCACCTCACAGCACAGCAGCCCCGGGCAAAGTCACAGCGTGTTGTCACGCAAGGCAGCACGGAAGGCCCTGGTAACAAGCCATTGCTTTGTGCTTCCTGACAAAAGCAGAGAAGATGCATTAGCTTATGAAAACACGGGCACTATACGTCAGCCCATCTGGGCAGTTCGGGACAGTCAGAGAAAACCTCAGCCCAAAGTCCTGGAGGGACAAGATCCAGCATTCATTATTCTCTTCCCTCTGGGAACCAAAGGGAGCATCTGTAAAACTCTTGAGTAACGTGGTAAATGAAACACATTTCCTGCAAGGATTCTTTAAGGCTGTCTTCTTTCCCAGGTCTAAAAAGCGAAGGAAAACACCAGGATAACTGGGACCAGCAACAGGTTCAGGAAAGAGAAGGGAAAACAGCAACCCAGAAGCACCCAGTCCTGGCTTGTTTGTTGCTACATGAGGATACCCTCTTAGTTAAAACACAGCTTGTTTTGCCTCCTGAAGTATATCAGCCTCCTTTATCCAGTCTGGATTATCTCGTTATTTGATAAGGTCTGACTTGAGAACTAAGGGCTGCCTTGGCTCAGTAGGATAGCACCTTCACAGTCACTGGGGTAAATGGATGTTTCCTGAAATATATTACATTTCTTTATCATTCAAACCACACTGCCTTTATGAAAAACAGATCAGCTATTAAAATTTCTCCCTATTTTACAGAAAACAGCCTCTGAAGACCCCTATTAATGTAGGACAAAACATTTATTATCTAATATTGCCATTTGAATCATTAGGTAACAGCTTTAAATTCTCACCTTAACCATTCCCTCCATTTAGGCCTGGAAAAACATTTTTTTTTTAACTTGCCACACTAAAACCCCCTGATTTTATACCTAGTCCAACTGAATATAAATGCACCTTAATACTACTTTCATACCTCTGCCAACAAAAGCTCCTGTGACTCTTAATGCCTTCCAGCTGCCCAGCAGAACAGTCCCACATGCGGCGTGTCTGGGAAGACACAACTGCCTGTCCAGGATCTGCATGCAGCTCTCCTCCCACTCCCTCCTCTGACATACCCTTCTGGAAGCTCCTCTTCCACGAGCTGTTACATAGAGCACAGCACGGCTTCCGGATGCAGAAGGCAGAGCGAGGCCTCATCTCCCGGTGCCTCACTCCCAACAGGATGGCCAGATTTATTAAAACAAAACTGAAAAACTAAATGTATGTTTTGTTCAGTGGCAGCTGTCAGACTTTCCCATCTGGTTTTTCCCGTAGTTATCCCAGCCCCATCAAGGGAGAACTAGATAACTACAATAATAACAACAATGTGGATTATGATAAAGAGCTGCTGAAGTGAAGGGAATGCAGGGAGGAAATGGGATGTCTAATTCACATAGGTACGCTCCTTCTACCTTACAGGTGGAAAGATCCCTCCCTGCTAGTCCACATTTGTTCCTCAAGGCAGGGTAGAGAGATGTTATAGCTTCTTCTGAAACAGATGATCTAGCTGAGGCCATAATCATAGAATCATAGAATGGTTTGG